ACTATACTCGGAATTTTAATTCGATTCCAGATTTGACAATTTCAGTGTTGCAACGTTATGACAAGTACTAAATAGTGACGTTGCAAAATTATTCGATATGGAAATGCAATATTTCTGGATCGATTCTTCTCGTTTATAATTTTACTCTCGTAAACTAAGGATATCAGGAAATTAAATATTTCTGACCGATAATTTAGTTTTGACGATTACTTAACGATCTGAGACTTTTCTTTTATAATTGTGTGTGAAATAACTAAAAAAATGTAATGATGAAGGAACATGACAAATAAAACAGATAGATGTATAATGGTAATAAGTTATTTTATAAATTGTCGCCGTCATCGCTATCGCTATCCTGTCACTTTCTGTAACATTTATTATAAAACACACACACTGATTGTTTATCGATTTTTGTGTGCATCACTACACTATTATATGTGGTATCATTATTTCACAAAATGACAGTAGCTATTGTCAAATCTGGAATCTAATTAAAATTCTGACTATAGGTCGTCACGTGTCTAACTTTCTTCTTTACATAATTAGGTAAACAGGATGTAAAATTAGAATTAAATGTGCAGAAACTGGTTTGTTGTTAATTTTAGTGGTCTGTGTAATATTATTACCATTTCAGGTTTTTGATTGAGTCGGTCTAAACACGAGTATGTATAAAACTAAACTTGTCTGGGTTAGTATGCAATTTTGTTCGTTTATTTATCTCGGTATTTGACTTTTACTTTTTTGTCTTAGTAGATTGACGGCTAATTCGTCATTTTGTGTTGTAGGTACGTAGGTATGATGTGCAAAAAGTTACAAATAGGTAGTATGTTTATATTTTTTAAATTAAATGGACCACGGAACTCTTAAAAGGTGCTGTGGCCTAACTATTTTTAAGGTTGAACCATTGCTACTGGTAAAGACCAGTGGTAAAGTTGGTCCACTGTCCCGCAATGATTTTTACGCGTAATATAAACGAAAGTTTTCTAACTGCGTTTAAAAATAAATTTATATTTTTAACCTGTATCAGTATCATCACTGCCTCGTCTCTGAAGCCACCGTTGCACCAATTCGATGCTGGCTTCCTGTCCAGCCAACATTATCATTCACACATAACATTTAGATCACCACACAGCACTTTGATAAGTCAACACATTTTTAATTTAATACACAAATTCACACAAAAATCTAACGGTAACTTTACATTTAATTTTGTTATTTTTTAATTTTCCGCTATCACCATAAAGGCCGGAATCCCAAAAACACAACGTAAAAAAATAACACTGGCCGAAAGAAATGACAGCACTTTGCCGCGTTCAAATATCGAATTAATTAAATGACGAACGTCGACGGCCGAGTGTAAACAGCGAGTAGAGTAGATGAAGCAAAATGATTTTGCACTCGTTGTAAATTGTATTTATTAATTTTCAACCATATTACGTTGTGATAAGAGAGTTTGATAATTTATGTGAGTGCACTCGTATATTGGTGATGTGGTGCAGAGTTTGTAGAGCGCGCAAGCGGTCTGTTAGGTAATGGCCGTCAAGCCGAGACAGTTGATCGAAGAAGGGGGGTGAATGTAGGACGAGTGTGGTCTGAGCATACATTAACCCACTGGAAGGGATACGGTGACAGCCTGTTGATGGGTCTCGTGATAAACTACCAGTGTTACCTGCGGACAAATTGAGGGGTCGCTCTGTACCCACGGGTCAAATTACTCACGTATTTATTTGTGGAATGTGGTTCAGTTTCGAAGTTTAAATGTCATGGCGGCAAATACTCCGCGAGTCAATTAAAATGGCGTAAATAAATCATGGACGTTACGTTTAGGTTTTAGCGTGTGTAAGAATTTGTAACAGATAATTCAATGTAAAAAAAATTTTAGCTAGCATATTAGACATTTTTAATTAATAATTTCGTGAATGAGATATCTGGTCTGGGTATGTAATAAAAAAATTTAACATTTTTATTTATTTATAACATTTATCGTTTTTATTTTTAGACAAGCTTAGGTAACCATTGCATCGTTTAGTTAAGCATTTAGGTACAATACAACTAAGAAAGAAGAGGTTGTGAAATTAGGAATTAATATAAGGTCCTTACTTATTTATATAAGACTGCCTCGTTGGCCGAGTGATCGCAAGTGAGACTGCCGGGCATGTGGTCTCGGGTTCGATTCCCGGGTCGGGAAAAGTATTACTGGGTTTTAACGGCGGATAGCGACTTTGTTTTATACTATGTAGTGATGTCTCACGAAAGTTATAATACCTAGTTATAATCTTGTGTCATCATAAATTATTTGCAAATAATATAATTGTTTTACTTGCTTATCTATCAAAAACTTTGTCTATCGTCATAGACATGTGATTTAAAGGTAGTAATTGCGCAAGAGTGACTGCTTAGTATACACACGTGGGAGGTACAATTATTCCGTTTACTCTGACTAAGTCTAAACAACTTTCACACAAATGCCAACCGCAGGAATCTGAGACTCGCATTCTTATAAATTGCCGAATGTTTTTAAAAAGTAACAATTAAGCCACGCCTGTTTTAGTCTCGAATTTGTGCTACTTAGTAAAAAAAACTGCCTCATTGGCCGAGTGGTCGCAAGTGCGACTGCCGGGCAAGGGGTCTCGGGTTCGATTGCCGGGTCAGGCAAAGTAATACTGGGTTTTTTAAAAATCTCTGTAGTAGCACGGAGACTGGAAATGTGGCCGGTATATGACAATAGGCTCACCCCCTGTTACATAGGACTCAT